AAAAATTAATTGCTAATTATTACAATCTCTTCTCGCATCATGATATCCTTTCTTTCATTAAATCTTTCTATATTAGAGTCTTTTCTCCACGCAAGCTTTATAGATAAAATGTAGTTTCTTCAGTAAATCTTTCGAGAAGATTACATTTCATCGATCACTTTGATTTTCACATGTTTTATAGTCGATAGAACTCTGAATCACGTGCACTTTAAATCACATTGCGGATTTTTCTGGTTCCTAGGATACATCACTTCAAAATTTTCTGTTTAGAAACAAACATATCTTAAGTGTAATGTATATAAATATCATGTTCGATTATTAGCTTTAATAACTTTGATCATGACATACTATGTTCAAAAATATTAGTACTTTCAGTGTTATAATTGCATAATTTTTCACATGAGTTTGTTGCAAACTCAGTTTGTTGAAAAATTCATCCGAAACGGATTACACATAAAAAAAAACTAAACTTCTAACTTATACAGGAAACGATGTATTTTATTGTTTTACTTTACTGCAAAGTACATGCATGGGCGGGGGAAAGGCTCCAACCCTCGCCCTGTACCTCCGCTCCAAAAAGATTCTAATTAAACCTAAACCTAATTTTTATATAAAAAACAGAAATTAGTTTGGGTTAAATTAGAATTTTTTAAGTTTTTTTTAGTGTTTTTGGATTATTAATTAATAATGCTACACGTGAATCATTAAAAACCCCATATTCTCGGGAAAAAATCGAGATAATATTATAAAGATCCGTGGGCAACATATCTATTTTTTATTTATTTTCTTAACTTAAAATACACGTTGCGCGAACTTTCTGCTCTTTTGGCGCAAAGGCTACCATCGAAATGCCCCAGAGAGCGGAAAACGCACGACGAGTACACGAGAGTACACGATACTTCGAGATCATGTTATCGCATCAAATTGAATCACACATCGCGATTGCCGGAATACGAAAGTGAGGAGAGTCTGAGTTGCAAAAACGATATAAACGTGCTGACGGAACGTTTATTTATTATCGATGTCCGATCAAATGCTTCACTCGCAATACACGTACTGCACTTCTACTGCATTTTTATTTCCATTCCAGAATATTATTATTTCATGTGCAGATTTTTTCATCAATACTACGTGGAGAATTTATTTCTTCTCGCAAAATGGACTATCTAGGGAAAAGTGGATTGCTCTTATGACCTGACCTATCTTTTGAACAACTTTATAACACTCATATAAAATCAATAAATCTCGTATTATATTAAAAAACTTTATTATATTTGAATAAAAATTTTATTGATGCTAACTTGATTGCTTCCACATTGACGCTTTTTGAAAAAATGCTTTTTTAAAATATAATAAGTTTTTTAAATAGCTTTAACATACTTTTTTTCTCTCTCTCAAGATTACAATTGAAAAATTATTAGTAGCTCAACATTTTTATTCAGAGAAAACACAAATGCTTCATTGATCGAGAAATTTAAAAACAAAAAAAAAACAGTGTCATCTTACATAGATTATGAAACTACTTTTAGTAAAAATGTATAAACTGTGATAAGAGCAACCAAACAAAAATAATGAAGTATAATTCACTAAAAGAATGAGAGAATATATAATAATATTCTGCATTGTGTTGCGATTATATATCGCCAGTGACTAAGAAAGTTTGCAATAATTTATATAATACAGTAAGAACGAAAAATCTTATTAATATTATTAATATTTATCTTATTAATTTTTTGAACAATGCATTATTGTCTTATCGATGATAAGCGGTCACAGACATTTTTCGATACATCTTGGAGCTCCTTCAGTAGGTCAATAACATGGACGAAAGAATCGACAATGTTAAATGAAACAAAAGAAAAGTAAATCATCATTACTTTTATCGTTATTCTCTCACGTTCCTTAAATACCACAAGCATTATCCCATTCCATTCTTTCTGTGCCGTCTCTTTTGTTTTTCTTCTTTCTGTCTCTCCCTTCCTTTCCCTTTTCTCTATTTCTTTCTCACAGTGGCTTCTAGCATTCTCACGCGAGGATGTCAACCGCAGAAATGAATCGTTGGGTTTAAATAATTTTCAATGAACGTTCACGACATTCAAACATATCACGAACTTTGCATTTATCAAACGCGGAATAAAGGAGCCATTATGTAATTTGAGCATTTATGTAATTTATGTATTTATGAAAAGAACAATACTTTGAAATACGGCAAAAAAATTATGGCTATAAATTTTGCCAATTTAGCGAGATTGAAAAGATGTATCATGCGCATACGTACTTCATGTAAAAAGGAAAAATTAAAGCAGTACAGTTTATATAGGATGAGTCGTAAGTATGTTTTAAAACTTTGTAAGCGTTTCTAGATAAGTTGTTTCTAGATAAAAAGTAAAAACAATTTTTCATATAAATATTAGGCAAAATTGTTTTGTTTCTAAAATAATGGACAAAAATCACTAATTTTTTATAACAACTATAAATGCGAGAAAGTAAAGCTCAAGTTTAAGTTTTGTAATTTATTTCAATTCAAGTTTACGTTTTAAGACATATGGAGTCACTTTTCAACTTGAACTGTGCTATCAGCTTTCGCAAAGAATTCAATAACACGATACGTAGCTTGAATTGAGACATCTGAGAGAGAGAGAGAGAGAGAGAGAGAGAGAGTGAGATCGGATTTTCTTGCGATCTCAGTTAAGCTAGATTTGGCGCGTGGCCACAGATTGCTAGTCATTCGAATCAATGATAAATGCTCATTCTGATATCAATTAGCGGAATTCTGTAGCAAAAAGAAGGAAGACAGATTCAATGAAAAATACCGCGTAATGAAAATAAAGCTGTTAATAAAATATTGAATTTTTTTATTCAATATTAAAAATTGAAGCATTTTACCAAATTAATCTTTACAAAAACAAGCAAATATGTACATAAACTCTTCGCCGCTCCACCTGAAATAGGATACGTTAATATATATTTTTTTATCTAAAATTTTATTTTATGCAATCAAATATCTACAATTTCAATGTATAACAATCAACAAGTTTTCGACGATAGTGATTTCGTGAGTAAAATAAGCGCGATAAAGAACCGAGCATGACAGTACGAACAGTATGGCAAACGCGATACGTATAACGTTCGTGTACGCATTTCATAATGCCCTCTCGCATGAGTTTGCATTTATATAATTTCGGAATGGTCACGAGAGAGGAGAAGCGGGTCAATAATTGTATAGTGTCGAATGAATGCGCATAATTTGCCGCGTTCCAGATTATAAACATTATACACTCCGATGACATTGCGAGGAACGCATTGTCTTCCGCTATAATTACACCTGGCGAAATCACGATGCCAGCAAAATAAATCACGCGAATACACATGATTGATAATGAAAAGGGTGTGGGGCGAGGGAGGGGGAGGCATTTATTCGCTATTCAAATTCGCTCTTGCGCTTTATGTGAATGAATGATCGATTGATATCACAAGTGTCGTGTTATCAAAAAAAAAAAAAAAAAGATATTAATTATTAATAACACGCGTTAGAATAATTGTTTTCTCCTCCTCTCTAAATCACCGTTGTACCCCCTCAATGTTCAACTAAATCCGACGCGTTTACTGTTTTTTTTTTGTTTTTTTTTTCATCTTTCTGTTCTACTCCCCCTCGGCTATTTCCATCATGAAATCTTCTTGTTGCGTTATGCAAGCGGCTCAGAATCCAATTTACATAATACTTTTGCGGTAATTTCCCGGTCTTGTAAACTCTGTTCTTTCGGACCATTTTGAGAAAATAGCGGCGCAAAAGCTCAGTACCAACAATTATGTTATGTATTGAGCATACTCAAAGATAATAATGTTGCAGACGTTGAGAGATTCACTGATACACGTAATAATTAAAATTCTTCAATTTCTCGTAATTTTATATGTATAATAGATCTGGCCGAATATGATTATATAAAGATAAAATCATATCGCGCCAAATTTTGGATATTATTATATATGATCATAAAATTACATATGTTATCATATGTTACTATATATAATCTTATATAATTACATAAAGTCCATTTTTCTCGGGAGTAAATTAAATAAACTCTTATTTAATAAATTACTTAACACACGATTGCTCTGCCGTGACCCGATGTTACTCTGGGCTTTCTTCTCCTCCTCTCTTATTTGTCCTATGTTGCTTTTTCATGGCACTCACACTTATTTGCGAAAACACAGTTAATTACGATTGCGACATTTTGCATGGCACTCCCGACGCTTTAATTGCTCGCCACGCGGATATTATTATATTTTCGAAAGTATAATTCAAAAATTATATAATTCGCTCAACATTATATAATTATTAATGACTGTACTTAATAATTAAACGCAAAGATTTAAACGCAATATATAAATGTAAAATGATATCAGTAATTTTGTATGATATATCTAATATTGTATGATATAACTCGAGCTCTAATTATTAAGTAAAATGAAAATATCAAACAATCGAAATTTGATATACGAGATAAATATTATTATATAAATGATATATCACGACTTTTTATTATTTGAATTATTGGATGTATTATAATATTTCGTGCTCTCAATTCGAGATGAATGTGAGCAAATTATATTATTGAAATCGATAAGATCAGAGGGAAAGATTCACCAAAATCCGCGTAGAATCTATGCAATTTAGTGGACAATATCGAGATCTATTGATAACTAGTCATATATGTAGATACTTTCGCTTAACGTATGTCATTCTATTTAAATAAATATCCTTCTCAAGAGCAACCATGACGTTACCTTTATCCGCTTTCATTACAGTTGCTTTTGATAAGGATATTTATTTAAACAAAATGACAGATATGTTAAGTGATGAAAATATTTATACAGTTTTAAATAAAAATCTGACCAGAAAATTGATCAATGGTCTACATGAATTGTTGGGGAGATGGACAAATCACAATTATATTTTGGACACAATGTACAAGTGTTTAATGGGTATGTTAGCTTACCTGCGTGAAGAAGTAATAGTAGACCTTCATGCCACGATCTGCAAACAACTGAGCGAAATGCGTGGATGGGCAGATGAAGAAATAATCGCCCACGACATCCGCTATCGCTTTCTGATTCTTATAGCCGTCATTTATCTGATCCCAATCGGTATACTGAAACAGAAATCCGGACGAATTCCAGTTAAAGATTGTCAATTAGCGTCTAAAAATGTAATTTTGAGCAACAGATTTAATAATTCAAAACGTGTATTACACTCTCTGCAATATATGTCAAAAGAAAAAATTATCTGTAAAGTGTAAGTTAATGTTAAAATTTACCTGAAATTTTAATTTCTTGTTAATTATATGATAATATAATTCTAATGAAACTTTGTTTTTATAACAATTTTAAACGCAAAAAAAATGGTTTTATATTGTGAAACCTTTCTTTCTAAGATCTGGCATTTAAATTTTAATCAGAAATTTCAAAGCATCATTAAGACTATGTCCAGGCATCATTAAGAGAAAAAATTTAAATGCAATTGAAGATTAAACATGGCCATTAGACGTGAAAATTAAATATCTTCTCTTTTCTATCCGACTTTTGGCTCATTCTTTCTACCTTTCTCGCTGTTCATTATGTTAAAAGAAAATAATTTTTTATCTGAGCGCGCGCGTACACATACACATACACATACAACAATGCTCTCGCATATAGCTCGCGGGTTAAAAGATATTACCGGAGCATCGATGCTAGTTATACGTGGAGTAGCTCTGTATCATCGATTTTCTTCCATTCGAAACGGCAATAAAAAAAATGTGCGCTTTTACGAATTCATTCTGTTCGATTACTCGCGCGTGGGCGAGCGACATCAGCAATGAATATATCAAAGACACAAGTTTCCGATGACCTTTATGCTCACCGTATATATGTATCATCATGTAAACGAAAGGTATCCTCGTTCGCGTATGCCTTGTTCCCGGATACTTAATGAAATGTACACGGAACTCGAGGTTTCATGCAGCCATGAAACGGCTCTTGACAAAGCAACTTTGACATGCCGTTCTGCTGATCGGAAAGTAATTAGCGGTCGCCCAGCAGAACGGAGCTCTTTGAAGAGTGACATTACACCAGTACATAACGATATCGATTTTCCCCGTGACCGTAACTCGGCCTCTGTTACGCACTAGAAAATCTATTGAAAGTATTGTAAAAGAACCTTCAATATTTCATGTTGCAAAATTTTTTTCGGTTTGTTTTATAAAATTTTTCGTAAAAGAATGAGAATTGCGTTTTATTTTTTTTTTTGTGAAAATATTAAGCGTAATTATGTAACGAATAAAAAGCAACTAATATATTTGATTGTTATAAAATAAGCCGAAAGTTGTGTACATACTTTGAATCCTTGAAACATATATTTTATTTATATAAATGATTAATTAATTAATTAATTATTTTAAGTATACTACTCAACAAAATAGAGAACACTTTCCATGCGCTAAAAATTGAGCTATTTTCAAATCATTGTAACTAGGCGAATAATTATGGTAGACAAAAAATTAAAAAAGCATTTTAAAGCTTGAAGTTTCAACTTTAACGCGCCAAAAGTTTTTAAAAAAAATTGTATCTTCCTTGTTATGTGTTTTAAAAAAGAAGATATTGTTTTATTCTTTAAAATTACGTATACATATTTTGACGCTCTGCAGCTCGATAAAATAATTTCTCTCGACAAATTTAAGTCAAGTTCCATAAACTACAACATTTTATTTACAAAACGATTTATGAATAAAGAATAAAATCCATTTTTAGTAATGTTTAAATGACCACCTCTTTAATAAAGTTTTGATTTAGTGCTATATTTTACAGAGATATTCACTGCTAAAAACTAATAAATAGATAGCGATCTTAAATCAAGTTTCTCTTTAAAAAAACATTGATTATGTAAGAAATTTAGATTTAAGAGAAAACGCAATGTCGCTCTCTAATGCATTTTTTACGTGCAATGAGAACGGAAGGATTGTACTTTATAAAATATATATTACTTTCCATCCGCTGTATATACACAACTCGGACACATACCGGAATAACAAATGTCTTTTATATGCAAAAATAATGTATTTAATTCACACAATAACATTGAATAAAACAGGTTAACAAATCGTTGATTACCAATAACTTCCTGCGAAAATGCTATATGAGTTTCTCTTGTTATTTTAGTTTTTTCTTTTTTATTTATTCGATTGTGTATCTGCTCGTGGAACGCATAGTTATAACGTACCACGGCATATTCCAGAAAAATAAGGAGATGCCATTGGAAACTGCATATGGGTATTCCATAAATCACTCAAGAAGCACAACTGCACACCACGGTAAATTTTTACAAAACAGATATTCCCGACTGAAATGTTTTATTATGGCGATTACACTTCCGGATATGTTGACTCTAGGCAAAATGTAATATAAAACTTTGTTCATTGTCCATGCAAAAGCATTCCATTAATGCAATTACATTAAATTAACGAATTCGAACTTATAAGAGAAAGATATGATTATAATAAATTAAATTAAAATAACGGCCGAAAGTCAAGTGAATATAATAATGATAAATTAATACGCAAATAAAAGTTTACGTCTAAATGCACGTTTAATAGTAGTAATAGATTCCATTTTTTAAATAAAGATTCGTTTAAAAAAATGTCTTTGTGCGAATGTGGTTTTTTCCACTGATATTTTGTTCAATTTGAAATTATTCGCATTGTGATATGACCAAAGGTAGAATAGAAGCTTAATTACGCTTGTTTCGTTGTTATCGAAAGCAAGCGGATCGATAAATTTCCTCTCAAATCAAACAGAAATTTGGCCGAATAAAAAAAATTGCGGTTTGTTATAATCGCAATTACACGGGGCCACTGTCTCTGATTAACAAAAAATCAACGTGCGCGCGCAAAAAAAAAGACAAAAGCCGTGGAAAAGGAGATAAACAAATGGCGGGTAGGCGTTCCAATTAACGGTTTTTCACTCTACGTCCATCCGTATCCGATGCAATACGCGGTGAGAAATGCACGTTTAATAATATAATCATGGCCAATCCTTTTTAGTACAACAAACTCTGACGTCGGCGTGCATTTTAAGCCGCGATGCAGCACACGCGCGCATATATATGTGTGTGTGTGTGTGCGAGAGATAGAAAACCGCGAAATTTTAATGCATAAATGAGTGAGCCAACAATCGAGTAGAAACTGAATTTATTCCGAAACACTATGTGGCACATAACTATTATTTATACAGAAATGAATATTCTGTTATTGTAAATTGTTAAAGAATTCGCACATGTACTATTATTATCTTGCTTATAGAAATAGAGTGACGTATTATAATTTCTTGAAAAATACGTAAATTGTTATGTAATTTTAAATGAAAACAGTGTTGCAAATGTATAATTCATATTTTGCACATTTGTCTTCTTAAAACATTATATAGTTTCTTTAGTATGTGATTTCCAATTTTCATCAATTTCATGGTACATTTGCCAGTTTTTTTATTTATTTGAAGATATGTTTGTACGTGTGTATTGTATATATGTATGCATGTAGTAAATAACAAATATCAAAATTTATGTATATAAATCAATTTCTCTCTAATACATTCCGTAATTACTTTATATAAATATATAAAATAAAAAATATATATATATATATATGTTTTATTTTCAAATTTGAACCCTCACTCCGTATTGTTATTTTTGACATCCTCAAATTGTACAAGTGGATCAATTATGTTCGACGCGCTTATCAATAGATAAAAGTGTTCAAAAAAAATCTGAAAAATTTATATACCTTTTTTGATCCTTCTAAATAAAAACTAGAATAATAAATTTGAAAAATAATTTACTTAAATATATTATTGCAAATATTATTACCATTTGTTTTCGAGGAATTAATACTGCTAGAAATTGCACGTACAAAAACAACCTACCAGTACGGAGTAAGGGTTAATTATATACATACAGCATTTTATAATTATACTTATCATATACAATGTAATGTACAAAAATGCGCAGCAGGACTTACTTGGAAAATGATGGCTTCTCGCTCGATTTGTGACATATTCTTGAAAATGGTATTAATGATGTTGAGAAACTTGTCTCGTTCGAGAAAACTGGCTTGATCTTTCTCGAAGAAGTCAATAAAATCGTACAGAATAAAGTACGTTCCTGAAACAAAAATATATATCTGTTGAACAAAAGATAAATCTTGTATCATAAAGAGAAGTAAATATTCATAAATATTAATACGCACATACACACAATTCATACTACAATATATCAAAGTCTCCGCGTATTCGTAATATTTTGAAGATAAATTGAAGATAAAATTATTATATTTGGATTAATCCAGCTGAAAAAGTACTCTTAAATTGTTGTTTTTATAAAAATTCTGAAATTTACTTAGAATTAGTGTTATATGTATATTATAATATTTTTAAATTTTTATGATTCTAGAAAAAAAAATAGTATGCAAGTGGGAATATATTAAAAATATTAGGAGAAAAGTGGGAATATATGACATTTTCGAAAAATATAAATGCACGGTTATAAAGTGCATTAAATGACATGAATTCTTTATTTACAATATTTTTTCAACATCTCAGTTTCCACGATATTTATTCAAAATTAAACGCACCGAATTAGTTTCAATTCTTAAAAATTATTTCATTTCCAAACGTGCAAGAAAACATTTGTGGAAAACACGTATGTTTTGTTCTGCAATATCTAAAATTAATGAAGAAATGGAAGAAAAATATGTCCGTATATCTCCTTGGAAGCGTGTTCAAGTGATACAGCTAGCAGTTTGTTCCGGCATCGCAACTCTTGTGACATAACGCAACTACTAGAAGCATATACTGACGAAAGCACCACCTCGTAATTCGCAAAGAGACGAACACATTTTTAGAATGCTTTGTTTAATGAAAATGTTGGCTTTGTTTAATGAAAAAAGTTGACCTCGCTGCGCGTTATCATATGTATTTTTGCTCGTTTTCTAACGCGCGAAACTCCGGATTTCCGCTGCTTACACATGCGCGATGCGGAAACTTTATGCCCCCTCTTGGCAAGTGTCGCCTCGGGCGTGCGACTGTCTTTGAAATTGTGTACGAGGGCTTCAAAGAGAACGCGCCTGGAAAAGAAAATGTAGTTTTCCGATACAAAGGATTTTTCTCTCTTTTGTTGAGCAATATATATAACAGGCAGCCAGTTCTTACATCGTAAATATTTCACGCGTGTTATTTTTAGTCAGTTTCTTGAATTCTTTATAGAAAAGCTTAATCTTTTAATTGTCGAATTATAATTAAATTATCTCTATTTATAATTGTCAGTCTAATCTCTCTTTTCACAAGTTTGTTTTTATGCAGTTTTTGAAATTTTGTGACTATTATCTAGTTTTTTATATATTTCCTACTTTATATTTTTTTTAAATGACAGAAATTTGTTGCATACATGAATTAGTATACTTTACTTATCCTCGGCACGTATAATATTTATGTTTGAATTAGACCACCAGTAAAATGTAATGAAATTAGAAAGTTATAAACAAAAGATAAGTATTTCTTCTCTTGTGGCGTATACATATACTATAATTAATTTAATTATAAAATATGAACACGCAAGATTATGGCATTGTATAGTAAAATATAAATTTTATTTCCATTATTCTGTGTCAAAGAGCACGGTAGGGGGACGGAGAGAAAATAGAAATTAATTTCATTAACAAAGTAAACTTTACGTAATTACATTACTGGCATAAAAACTGTCATCAGTGAACAATGTTTATAATAATTCCAGAATGTATATTACGATATCGAGAGAAAAAAAAACAATATGACGAAAGAGAGTATTAGTTTGTAATAAATTTATCATAGATTTCTTGTTTTTACGTATCTATGTCTGCTGCATCGATTAGATATGAGCTTTTCTATGCGATCAAACTTCTATCTACAATTATGCTGCCAAGACTTAGAAGCAAATAGTCTCCTTTAGCACTAATATTAACATTATTAGCACTATTTTCGCGAACACAATCATTTTTAGCATTTAAAATATTATCTTCGCATATCAGAAGTTCCTTTTACGAGCGAGAAATAAATGGCTTTAATTAAAAGGCAAGAGAACCACGGCGCGCGAGTTCTACTTCACGCGTATGGTTAAATGTAAAATTAGAAGATGAAAATTGCTACTACGTTTTCAAAACAGAATTGTTTAATATTTTGATCGATTTTTTTTTGGCAAGATCTAAAAAATCTAACTAAGTATATATCTCAACTTTTATTCTATTCTGTGTAATTTAAAGTTTATGTTAAAATTTCTTTGTTTATGATATCATTAAATAGTATCCGTTAGAGAATTCGAGACAACAGCAGTCATTTGTCTTACATGATCGCTTAATGAGACCATCATAATTAATCCACGATCAATAATTTAAATTATATTATATAATAAATTCTCTTTAGAAATGTTAGTTTGTTTTATATATATTTGAGAAATTTGAAAAGTTGAATATTTTTCCATAATTTCATGATATGGCCACGATTTCGAAAAACCGCAGAAATCTTTTATAATTCATGGCGATAAAAATTGTTTAATATTCATAGTCGTAAATCAAAAAGTATTTTCTGCATATCTTTATATAAGCAGGGGTTTCCTCTCTTTTCAAAAATAAATACGCGATATGGAATGCGCGCACACAAACAGAAAAAGCTGGAAACATAATATATCATGCATTCTACCAAACAATACCAGATATAAGCTATAAAAGAGAAAAAAACATGAGCAGATAGTAAAGGAATTAAGTTCTGTCAAAACGGAGATAGTGTGTTCTAAGATCGGTAGTAACGAAGAAATCTTTTTGCTTTTTGTTTATTTCAATTACCATCGTATGAAAATTTTAACGCGCCGAAAGCTTTCATTCACTTAAGCATAATTTTGTATTTAGCATAATTTCAAAAAAAAGTCTTGGAAATTATGGAAGAAGTTAATAAAATGTAACTTTTACGAGAAATTTTTATACGCCAACAAAACTCTAATAAAACTAAGAAATTTAAAACTCAACATTTACGTCGTACGTTAACATATTACATAATTAAATGAAAAAATATCAAATAATTGTTATTTTGTTTTTTTAATATATGATAATTTGTATTATAAAGAAAGAATTTTGATAAACTTATAGCTTATAAAAAAAAGCGATAATAATAATTCTCCTTTGAAATCCAAATAATAAATATGAACATATGTGAAGTACGCAAAATAATATACATATAAGTAATCATTATTTATTATTATATATAAGCAATCAAAGAGAGAGAGAGAGAGAGAGAGAGAGAGAGAGAGAGAGAGAGAATATATATCTCTCTCTCACACTAAATAGATACGATTAGTAGTACCTACTGGTAGCGGAGCTTCTTAATCGAACAAACTCGTTTGAGGAAATTGCGAACTCAATTACAGCACGATTAAACGGTAAAAGAGACTGATGTAAACACGTTGCATTCGTGCGACTTTAGATATACAAACGGATTGGAAATTACTAATTAACGTGTCGGGTACACATGGAAACATTTTAGAATTAAATTATAACTTCTCGAATACACAAACACAATCGCTTCAAGAGAACTCCTATAATTTAGTCTCTCTCTCTCTCTCTCTCTCTCTCTCTCTCTCTTCTTTCTTTAAAAAAAGAATTTTGCAGAATGCAACGGAACCAATTTTGAGTAAGCATATGACTTTGAGTGGCTCTGAATTTAGCGCCAGGCCAGTTTTTTATGTCA